CCCCCTTTTCAGTTTTTTTCCTATTTCCAGATTGATAAAAAAATAGCCAATGGTAAAATGAAACAAATACACACATAACACAGACATATGCAAGCTATTTTACTTGTTTTACCTTGCGGCGGCCATCAAAACAAATACTTGGAATAAATTTCAGCCTGAAACAATACAGAAGTACTTCAAGAAAGCTGGATTTGTTACAACTCACGAGCAAGATATTGTAGCCCCGCTAGGCAGCCTACCTCCCATGGCAGAATTTGAGTACATTTTGAAGATATTGTTGCAATGGATGCAATGAACCTGACCTAGAAGCAATTTTCCAATCAGTATCGACCAAGGTACAACCCAGCGGAAAAGTGCTGGAAGCAACTGATGAAGCAGAATAATTAAGTGAAAATTAGGTGAGGACACTGAAATTGCAGATATTCCCAAAAAAAGAGGATGTCAGTCATTTGATAATGTTAAGTCATTTGCTATGGAAAAATGCCCAGGCATTCTGAGCGATATAGCCAGCATTGAGAGTGCTTTCTCCTCCTACCTTCATAAAAAGAAACATACTTTTTTTTCAAAAGAATGAACCATAAGAAAACCATACGTAAATGTATTGATTTTGTATGATATTGTATGAATGATTTTCCTGTGTTTTCACTGTTTGTGAGATTCTAATAAAAGTTGTACAATGAGGCACGTGTACATAACAGTACTTTTCCATGTTGACCACCTCCATATGTTGACCATTTTCCTTCAGTCCCTTAGGTGGTCAACTTTCATAGGTTTTACTGTACGTTAAAACCACCAATTTAAAAAATATGTGAAAGATTTAGGGCCCGTTATAGCTGTGGATATTCACAAAGTTCTGGCCATTGTAGCATCCCCCACAGTTAACATGATCATGGTTTCAATGCTCCTGGCCAGTTTACAAGCAAAGTCAATGGGGAAATCAGCAGGAAGCCAGAAATTGCTCCTAATGCATTATACTACAATAATTTTGTAAATCAACAATTGTTGATTTAAAATAGCAATATGGTTTTGGGACATTTAATGTTCTTTCCGGTTACATCAAGGGATGGCCCAACGGGTCATAGGTTATATAAATCTATAGGCCTAATACAATTAAGATACTTAAAATTTATAGTTTAAAGACTAGAGGCCAAACATTAAGAAACATTAGACTCAGTATGCTACACAATATAGCTGCATGTTGGTCAAGTGACTGAAAACTTGTAACTTTTCAGCTACATTTATTGTTAAAATGGCTGCCAATTGCATTTTTCATTGTTTGGACAAGTGTAGTTAAATTGTACAGATTACTGACTGGAGCTTGAAACCTGATGACACTTTTAAGTCTTCTCCCCTAAGAAATCTCAAGATTTCTGTAGGACTTCCAGATGCTGCCTTTCATAAGTCAATCTGTTAAGAGAATTTTATACATATGAGCATTACCATAATACTCCTACCCTTTGGCTTCAAATATTACTGAAATTATTCTCTAAAATGTTTCCATTTATCCATCCTACCACAAAGTTTCATCAATAATAGTCCAATCTGGTGCATTAAATCTTTTATTTTTTACAACTTATTGCATACAATCACAATTACATTCTCTTTAAAAAAAAAAGAACACATTCTGATGTTACATTTAATGTTTACATTTTTAATACACTGATTTTCTTCAAATCTTCAAAGACTAGAGGCTCATGCATGATGTAACTTCGGCGAAGCCAACTTCAGATTACATTCTTCGACTTCAAACACTGTTAATAAAAATAGACAAATGCAGGAGACAGTATACTAATTTACATCTTGTTCAACTTCAAACAACTGTTAATAAAAATAGACAAATGCAGGAGACAGTATACTAATTTACATCTTGCGACGTGACATGCCTGTGCTCAAAAATCCTACTGAGGGTCATTTGAATAAACACAAATTGCACTATTCAGAATTATCTCATTGCTGTGTTTTGGCTAAAACATTCATTTAAGAAAAAAAATACATCTACGAAAATGTCTACAACCTCTGGTCTCGTGTTGGACATTTGCATATATGGGCATTAACATTTGCAGAACTGTAAAATTCTCCGCAAGTTAACACAAGCACAGTAGTTATTCAATTGACATACAAGCAGTTGCTTGTAATACTGTTTTCAAGCAATGTTTCTGCTTGTTTAATAGTCTGGATATTTTAATGTTTATTCATTGAGTCCTCTTATCAATCCCAAATCCAGCTGATTAGTTTGTGTTGTACATCATCTTACCTTTTTTCAAACATAATGGCTGTCTTTAGCCTAGGAGTGCTCCTGTATCACTGTTGAAAAGCAATGATGGAATACTTTATTATAATGAGCAAGGCAATATATAAAAAAAACTTGGGGTTTTTTCCCCATAAAAGGAACATCTCCCATTCTTTTAGTTCAACAACTGGGGTCAATAGGAAAAGGCCTGCCTAACAAAACATGCCTACAATATAATAAAAGTACAGCTCCAATGAGAACCGGGTTTTAAAAAATTGAATCTTAAATTTGCACAGGGCTGCAAAGATTTCACTTCCACCTAAATTAAGTCCAGTAGTAAATCAAAACATAGTAATCTAAAATATTCCACTCACTTGATGCATGTTAGGAATCAGAAACTGAAGACCCAATGCCAAATGCGTCCCAGCTGCTCTAAATTTCATCTAGAAGTCAAAATAGCATCTGTGTTAAGAGAATATTCTAGCAGCAATGTTTCTGCATAACAAACTCCAGTTGTATTAATGGCAGCATAACCTCAGAAGCCGGATCCAAATTGGCATTTTTTCATCAAGAAGTCAGGTTCGGGATAGGCTCATCACTGGTCGGGGCCATTCCATACTATTTATTTCAGTAAATAAAAACAGTTCATACACATACCTTCATCTTAAGAGTAGCATTATCACGTCTGAAAAGAGAAAAAGCAAGCGTAAATTCTTACTTCATATTTTGCATTTCTAATAAAGGACAAGTTATAAAGAAGCATTCAAACAAGCATCAGTTCAAAGGTATTAAGTATACAGAGTTTTAGTACAAATGCAGCACTATAACACCAAGAAGGAAAAAATATTGAACGGCAAATTATGGCTTCCAAAGCCAGCCTTGCATTCTTTACATTCTTTAAGAGTTGTCCATCAGCAAAATTAATTTTCTGTCTTTGCAATCTTTAAATCAACTACAGAAGGCTGAGAAACCCTCAAAACAGATTTGAGAAATTCCATTCCACAAGAGAAATATGTAACTATCAGTGTAGGCCTAAATGATTCCAACAAGAATGTCATTTCATCAGCAGGAATTTTCCTTTCTTACAAGGTGAAGAGTAATATAGATTTGATTCATTTCTATCACTAGTTTCTCCAACAGCTGTTACAACTGAAAAGGAGGCCTTATATATACTCTTAGTAGAGGCAGTTTGGTTAAGGTACTGGCCTAGAAACCGGGGACTGTGATGTATAAGACTCCTTCGGACATTAAAAACCAGCTGGGTGACTTTGGACCTCACATTCTCAGCCCAATACACTTCATAGTGTTGTTGTGGTAGAAAATACTAGGCAGGAGTTTTAAATATATTTGGCACCTTGAGTTGAGCTACTTTTTAAAAAGGATAAAATATAATTTAAATACAACAGATTTTCCAAATTTCACATATAGTGAGGATAATTTTAGTGGCAAAAGTATTTCACTGGAATTATTATCCCCATAAGACAGGAGTCCCCAACCCCCACTCCGTGGACCAGTACCAATCCGCACAAACAAGCAAAGCCCCATCTGCAGAATGTAGGCTGGACACAAAACCACACCCCTCTGGTCCATGGAAAAATCTCTCTCCATGTAACCGGTCCCTGGTGCCCAAAAGGTTGGGGACCTCTGCTATAAGATATATATTTGGTCAAGGATTTACTTTCATCAGTTACAGTAACTTCAAATTGAGAATTTATACTAACTATAGGATTTGTTGTCCAGTAAAAATTGTTTGTCCATGGGGTCGCGATGGATCGGGCATGACTTCGCAACAACAAAAAATTTCTCACCAAAACTATTCTTTCATAAGGATAATCCTTATCCAAATATTTCATATTAAAATATATTTAAAAAGATAAAACTAATGCAAACTAATTAAAAATATTTGAAGTTAAAACAAGAATCGAAAAAGATTAATAGAAAAAAGATACAAAGTAGTAAAATTTGTACATTTTTAAAATTCTGAATCAGTTGTGTATTTGAATCCAAAATATTCTAATTTTACACATCCACTAACATGATAAAATGACCCTTCTAGTTGACATCTCCAACATAAATTCAATGTACCTTTATATATTTGACAATGAAATAGTTCTTGATGGTTTGTGAACCCTATCACAAGAGACAACTCTCCAAATACTTAAAGCGAATATAATTTTTGAATGCCTTGATCTGAGCAAATATACATGCTGAAAGAGCTAGCCAATTATGGAGCATTATGCTCCTTCGCATTTTGCCAGCATTTTCTATGAGACAAATCCCTTTTAAATTCTCTTATTTAACCTACACAGCTATAATGCATTTATGTTTTGTCTCTGTTAACATTTGTTTCAGTATTATATACAGGCAACTAATAGTTTTTAGAAATAGAGTCAGAAAAGAGAACCAGCAACTTGATTCTCTTTCAAGATTTAAACTAGATTTCTCACAAAAGTATGCAAGTAAGGATAGTCCCAACAGTTTTATAATTGTAAGGTACTGGTAAAAAAATTCTTTAAAAGTACTACACCTAATCTTAGATATTAACAAAACAGCCTCTACCACCCACTGTATTTTATATAAATACAGCATTACAAAGGATTGATACTAATCCCATATATGTGTGTTCCTTCTTCATAAAACAAATATATTTGCCTACAATCAAATATAGTGCAATACTTAAAACTATAGTAAAACATACCACAGAGCTCATTGTGTGTAACAGCAACACCATCACAGCTTTTAGGCTCATATTTCCTGGAACATAAAAAACAGATGGTTTTTAGAATCAAATGACAAATACCCAATGTATAGTAATCAAGCTACTTTTTAAAGTAAATCCTAAAGCCTGAAGGGCAGTAGTGGCTTCCTTTTCTTGTAATTCACTTGCATTGTAAGTCTGCATATATTAAAACATTCTGAACTATGCAGCACAAAATGACTAATTCAAATGGCAACCTGTTAACTCACCACGTGGCCTTAAGCAAGCCATGCTTTCTGACCTTCCTCCAACCCTGGTACACCAACAAAAATGTGCAGGATAGTCATTTTTAAAGTATTATAAACTGAACTATTAACAAATTACTTAATAGTACTTAACCAGATTCTTTCCTCTCTCTCTAGCCGCTAATTTGAGTTGCAGCCGAACATTGAAAACAAGTCCTTCTAGTTTAAAATCATGTATTTTATCATTAAATCACGCCCGTTAATCAGCGATATGCCACACTCCCATCAAGCTCAAGATTGCAATTTTAAAGCATCTCTTCCCCCTGAAGCAATATGCATTTTTTCCAAAGGCTGCACGGGCATTCGGTCTCCTAACAGGTTCGAATTACAAGTTTAATCCGGTGTTAAAATCGTTTTAACACTCAAGCCGCAAGAAGCGCTGAATCGCGAGGGCCTGGACTGGTCTTCTCCCCTCAATAATTGCGCTCCCATCCACCACTGCGGGCTTTTGGCGCGGAAGGGAAAGTCTCGTCTAGGGGCCCTTTTTCAGTTAAGAGGTTATACTTGTAAGGAAAGCCTCCCATTTTCTCTAATCCTTTCTTTTAAAAGCTAGATCCGCTGCACTTTATTCGAAGCTCGACCCTCTTTCTGTCTCAGCGCCCTCAAAAACGGAGCTAGAAGGCGCCGGACCGGGAACTACCCACCAGAGGGGGTCCCTAAAAAGGAGTGCCGGCCTCGTGCAAGTTGCCTTCGTTATAGCTGTCGCAAATCACCCCACAGAGGGGACAACCGAGAGAGGGCGGGGAGGGGGGGAAGGGAGGGCGAACCACGCACAAAATGGCGGCGCCCGTTTCTCTCCTTCCTCCCACCCGCCACAAACTTACCACGCTCCGAACGTACGAACAAAAGGACGCGCGAGCCGTCTCTCCAAGCTTTATATAAGTCTCCGGGCACGAAAGCGAGGCTGGCCACGCCCCTCCATTTTCATTGGATACAGGAACGGAGCGGGGAGGCTGTTCTGCGAGGGTTAATCCCCCCCCCTCCGTAAACGTAAAGAGATACGAGTGCAATTTCAAATCTGCTCCCTCGTGTTGTTTTTTTCTTTTAGCCCGATGGCCTTTTTTTTTTTTTGTCTTTTATTATTCTCTTTGTGGAACTTTCTTCCATTGTTTCTCCACATTTCGCTAAATAAGGCCGGGAAAAGAACTGAACTAGGATTTTCCCGTTGCCATCGTTAGAAAAAAAAAATGAGCTCTGCTGCACGGAAGAAGGGATTAGTTGTAAAGCAGCGTTCCTTAAACGTGAAATCCAAATTATTTGCCATGTTTTGAAAATAATACAATATTAATATTAGATAAAACCTGAGAAGCGGTTTGCAGCAGCTATTGTGTCGTTTTTAATTGTTAATGCGGTAAACATCAATAAATTATATATGTACAGTTTTTGTATTTTGTATGTATTTTGTTCGCATCGCCCATGTAAATGCAGCGGAGGGGGGTGAAGCGGCAGCGCACAGGCCTTGCGGGGGAATCAGCTGGATCTACAGCGCTGCAGGGACTCTGCTGAGGCCCCAGGCTCGACTTGCGCGGCTCCAGCTGATCGGCGCTGCGTGCAAAGTCCAGTTGGACTGGGGTGGGGGGATGGGGTTAGACTGGGGCAGCTACAGAGGCCGGAGCAATGCCAGAGCCCGAGAGGACGCCACGCCCGGAAGAGAAAAGAGGAGGCGGGAGGAGGAGGAGAAGGAGAAGATATGAAAGGAGGAGGTTTTGGCGGGAAAGGACGAGGAGAGCGTCTATGAGGCAAGCCTGAGGGAGATAGAGAAGAAGATAGAATAGGTGAGGCTTCTGTGGGGCAAGCCTGAGAGACATAAAGAGGGAAAGTGATAGGGAGGCTTCTGTAGGGCAAGCCCGAGGGACACAGAGAAGAAAATAGGTGAGGTGAGGTTTCTCTGGGCAAGCCTGAGCAAGATAGAGAAGGCGATAGGGATAGGTGAGGCTTCTATGGGGCAGGCCTGAGGGAGATAGAGAAGATAGGATAGGGGAGGCTTCTATGGGGCAAGCCTGAGGAGATATATATAGAGAGAAGGTGATAGGGGAGGCTTCTATGAGGCAAGCCTGAGGGCCTTAAAGAGGGAAGGTGATAGGTAGTCTTCTGTGGGGCAAGCCTGAGGGACATAGAGAAGAAAACAGGTGAGGTGAGGTTTCTCTGGTGCAAGCCTGAGGGAGATAGAAGAGGCGATAGGGATAGGTGAGGCTTCTATGGGGCAAGCCTGAAGGAGATAGAGAAGATAGGGATAGGTGAGGTTTCTATGGGGCAAGCCTGAGGAGATAGAGAGAGAGAGAAGGTGATAGGGGAGGCTTCTATGAGGCAAGCCTGAGGGCCTTAAAGAGGGAAGGTGATATGGAGGTTTCTGTGGGGCAAGCCTGAGGGTCATAGAGAAGAAAACAGGTGAGGTGAGGTTTCTCTGGTGCAAGCCTGAGGGAGATAGAGAAGGCGATAGGGATAGGTGAGGCTTCTATGGGGCAAGCCTGAAGGAGATAGAGAGAGAGAAGGCGATAGGGATAGGTGAGGCTTCGGTGGGACAAGCTTGAGGACATAGTGAAAGAAGACGATAGGAATAGGTGAGGCTTCTGTGGGGCAAGCCTGAGGGAGATAGAGAAGATAGGATAGATGAGGTTTCTCTGGGGCATCAAATTTTGACCACCATGTGAACTTGAACACTGGGCACTATCTAACAAAATGAAATTCAATGGTGAAAAAAGCAAGGTTCTACATTTAGGCAAGAAAAACCAAATGCACAGATATAGTATAGGGGGTACCTTGCTCAATAGTAGTAACTGTGAGAGGGACCTCGGAGTCCTAGTGGACAATCACCTAAATATGAGCCAGCAGTGTGCTGCAGCTGCCAAANGGCAAGCCTGAGGGCCTTAAAGAGGGAAGGTGATATGGAGGTTTCTGTGGGGCAAGCCTGAGGGAGATAGAGAAGATAGGGATAGGTGAGGCTTCTATGGGGCAAGCCTGAAGGAGATAGAGAAGATAGGGATAGGTGAGGTTTCTATGGGGCAAGCCTGAGGAGATAGATAGAGAGAGAGAAGGTGATAGGGGAGGCTTCTATGAGGCAAGCCTGAGGGCCTTAAAGAGGGAAGGTGATATGGAGGTTTCTGTGGGGCAAGCCTGAGGGAGATAGAGAAGGCGATAGGGATAGGTGAGGCTTCTATGGAGCAAGCCTGAAGGAGATAGAGAAGATAGGGATAGGTGAGGTTTCTATGGGGCAAGCCTGAGGAGATAGAGAGAGAAGGTGATAGGGGAGGCTTCTATGAGGCAAGCCTGAGGGCCTTAAAGAGGGAAGGTGATATGGAGGTTTCTGTGGGGCAAGCCTGAGGGACATAGAGAAGAAAATAGGTGAGGTGAGGTTTCTCTGGTGCAAGCCTGAGGGAGATAGAGAAGGCGATAGGGATAGGTGAGGCTTCTTTGGGGCAAGCCTGAAGGAGATAGAGAGAGAGAAGGTGATAGGGATAGGTGAGGCTTCAGTGGGACAAGCTTGAGGACATAGTGAAAGAAGACGATAGGAATAAGTGAGGCTTATGTGGGGCAAGCCTGAGGAAGATAGAGAACATAGGATAGATGAGGTTTCTCTGGGGCATCAAATTTTGACCACCATGTGAACTTGAACACTGGGCACTATCTAACAAAATGAAATTCAATGGTGAAAAAAGCAAGGTTCTACATTTAGGCAAGAAAATCCAAATGCACAGGTATAGTATAGGGGGTACCTTGCTCAATAGTAGTAACTGTGAGAGGAACCTCAGAGTCCTAGTGCAGGGCTTTTCAACCTTTTCACCCATTGTACCACTTTTAGGATATGGCAACATCCGAGTACCACCAGTAAGGTGTCAAAAACCTGATGACCAAAAAAAAAGGAAAAAAGTAATAAGTACAGGTAGTCCTCGACTTACAACAGTTCGCTTAGTGACTGTTTGAAGTTACAATGGCACTGAAAAAAGTGCCCCCAAGCCACAGCCGAGCAAGACACCTGCCTGCCCACCTGGCGGCGCTCTTCCTCCTGTCCGAGGTTTTCATTGTTGTGAGCATTTCTGTTGAGGATTGGCAGCAGGGATGGGGTGGGTGTTTGGTTTTTATTTCCCCCGTCTGCTGGGTGGTTGCACAGGTTTTAGTCACTTCACATGACCCTGGGACACTGTGACCGTCATAAATCTGAATCAGTTGCCAAGCATCTGAATTTTAAATCACAAGACCCTGAGATGCTGCAACATTTCAGCTGATTGGTGCTTCTTCAGGGCTCAGCAGAAGCACCAGGATCAGCTCTAAGCTCCAGCTGGAGCCTGGCACTGATCCTGGCGCTTCCACTGAGCCCTGACAGCCCCGAAGAAGGGCGGATCAGCTGGAAAGCGGCACTGATCCTGGCGCTTCCACTGAGCCCTGACAGCCCTGCAGCTCCAGCCATCTCTCGCTCAGGCTTGTGCGGTGCTGCCACCGGTTCAGCTCATTCCCCTCCCCCGCTACCACTTTTCTAGGATGGTCGTGTACCACCTGCCAGGTGCCAATGTACCACAGGTGGTACCCGTACCACTGCTTGAAAAGCCCTGTCCTAGTGGACAATCACCTAAATGTGAGCCAGCAGTGTGCTGCAGCTGCCAAAAAGACCAACACAGTGCTAGGCTGCATTAACAGAGGGATATAATCAAGATCACGTGAAGTATTAATACCACTTTACAATGCCTTGGTAAGGCCACACTTGGAATACTGCATCCAGTTTTGGTCACCACGATGTAAAAAAGATGTTGAGACTCTAGAAAGAGTACAGAGAAGAGCAACAAAGATGATTAGGGGAATGGAGGCTAAAGCATATAAGGAACGGCTGCTGGAATTGGATATGTCTAGTTTAATGAAGAGAAGGACGAGGGGGGACATGATAGCAGTGTTCCAATATCTCAGGGGCTGCCACAAAGAAGAGGGAGTCAAGCTATTTTCCAAGGCGCCTGAAGGCAGGACAAGAAGCAACGGGTGGAAACTAATCAAGGAGAGAAGCAACCTAGAACTAAGGAGAAACTTCCTGACGGTTAGAACAACTAACCAGTGGAACAACCTGCCTCCAGAAGCGGTGAATGCTCCAACACTGGAAGTTTTTAAGAAGAGACTGGACAGCCATTTGTCCGAAATGGTATAGGGTTTCCTGCCTGAGCAGGGGGTTGGACTAGATGACCTCCAAGGTCCCTTCCAACTTGATGATGATGATGATGATGATGATGATGATGATGATGATGATGATGATGTTTTAGGAAGACTATTGACAAACTAAAGTGTGTCCAGTGAAGAACAGCTAAGAATAGGGACTAGAAGAAAAAGACTAGTGGGAGGTGTTGCATATGTTTAATCTGAAGAAGAGTAGTCAAGGATACTGATTTCTTCACAGAGTTGGGAATTTGAGTAGATTACTTCCAAATTCCATTCCAACCCATTCATGATTTGCATACCTATAATCTGTTGTTGGATGAATTTGGACTATACTACAGTGATATCTCGGCATTCGACGGCTTCAAAATTTGTCAAATTTGGTACTCAACGCATTTTGATGTGAAAATGCTGTCCCGGTACTTGTTTGGTACTCAACGGTTGTGATAGGAAAAGGGGGATGGCCATGGAGAAAGGACAGGAAGTCGGCCATGCTGGGAAGGTTGCGGACATAGGAAAAAAAACAGTCCTTCCCATCACCTGGTAAGTCACGTGGTTTGTTTGGCACTCATTGGTTTTAGTACACATTGTGCCTCCTGGAACCAATTAATGACAAGTACTGAGATACCACTGTAAATGGGCTAGAGATGAAATGAAAGCAACATCATGAAGTGAGGAAAAGAAATGGCTGTGATCAAAAATAATTTCCCATGGTTAAATGCAAGTGGAGAGAT